GTGCTTTGCCTACAGCGCCATGCGAGTCCTCACAACGGCCCCACACGTAAGCACTGCTACTTCCCCTGTTTTTATGGGTGAGAAAGCCAGGGCTCCTTGGGGAACGTGCTTGCTTCCTAGCCCATAAGTTACAGGCTGACATGCGAACCCGTCAGCACTCAAAGGGGTGAGAGAAAGGAAGGGGCAACGGTAGTGTCCACCCGTGGGGCCCAGGCTGCTAACCGCCTTAGGTCCCCACAGTGAGCCACTCCGCACCAGTTCAGAGGGGTGATCTACACCAGCGATGGCGAACCTTTTGAGCTCGGCGTGTCAGTATTTTAAAAAACCCTAACGTCACTCTGGTGCCATGTCATGTAGAGAAATGTTTTGATCTTTGCAACCATAGCAAAACAAAGACTTATATTTTTGATATTTATTTTATATATTTAAATGCCATTTAACAAAGAAAAATCAACCCAAAAAATGAGTTCGCGTGTCACCTCTGACCTGCGTGTCATAGGTTCGCCGTCACTGAATTCTAAACCCACTACGTGTGATCACATGAGCAAGTCTTGGGGGCATAATGTTGAGAGGAAAGAACAAGTTACTAAATGATGCGTAGGGTTTCCTGTTTAGGAAAAGTGTAGAAACAGTACTATAGCCCAAACCGGTTTGGCTGAGTGGATAGAGCGTCGGCCTGCGGACTGAAAGGTCCCGGGTTCGATTCCAGTCAAGGGCAGGTGCCTTGGTTGCGGGCACATCCCCAGTAGGGGAGTGTGCAGGAGGCAGCTGATCCATGTTTCTCTGTCATCGATGTTTCTAACTCTCTATCCCTCTCCCTTCCTCTCTGTAAAAAGTCAATAAAATATATTAAAAAATAAAAAGAAACGTAACTCTTGCAAAAAAAATACTATATATTGTTTATGGATATTCACAGATGTAGTGAAATTTTTTTAAAAAAGATACAAATGGCACCTCGAGGCAGGGGAAGAAAATGGAATGGTTTGGGGTCAGGGGTACACGGTACTGTATCTGTGACCTTTTATTTCTCAAAAAAGGAATGTCTGAAGCCAGAAACGAACTGTTATAGGGAAAAAACATCACAGGCCCCAAATGATGCCAAAAGCCCACGACACCAAGCCTGGATCTAACTCCTGATCTGAGCAGCTGCTGCGGCTCCTGGGAGAGAATCTTCATCAACCAGTCTGGCATTTTCTGGCCCACACCACTGAGGTCATCTGTCCCGTGACCCGACCCTCCCTCTACCCTGGAAAGAAGAGGCAATCCACAGGATACAAACCCTTCCCCTTCTCTCCTCCCCCGAAAAGGTGTCCCAGCCCCAATAATCTTTCCTTTTCTTCTGTTAATACCTCCCTGGCCCCACCCTCCTCCCTATACCAGTAAAACCTTTCTGCTTTGCTCGGCCACTCGGGGGCGCCCTTCGAGTTGCTGGTGGGGACGCGGCCAGATTCATGAATCGCTTTTTATTTTATTTTTTTATGAATCACTGTTAAAGCCGGTGAGATCGTCAGCTCTCCTCGGCTTCCTGTGGTGGTGTAACGGAGCAAGTGTGTTTGGAAACGTGAATGAAAAGGGGGCGATGTGAAAAACCGGACACGCTCGGGGTGGGAGCACAGGGCAGGCCTGACAACTCGGTGACCCAAGGTAACCCCACGGGAGGGTCTGAGCGCAGATCCCTCGCTGGGCAGGCGGCTGCGTTGCAGGCCACAGCTTCCCCAGCAAAGGCCGCTTCAGCAGAAGTGAGCGCTGCCCGCTGTCCTTACGCCCCAGACAGCGTCCCTTCGGACTGTCCGAGCGGTTTCCTTCTCTCGTCCCCTCAAAGGCTCCCCACAGGCAGGAGACCGCAGCCCCCACCCCCACTCAGTACCTTGTTCCCCGACCACCTCTGCGCTGCACATGTTCGTTACTAACCACGCTGCCCCCGTCGCCGTGAGAGTACGTGTTTCTCCACTTGGCTTTTCACAGCCCCGCAGACCTCCCCACGCTGCCTGCTCCCCGCCTCCTTCACCTGCCACCCACGCTTCCGCACACCGTCCTCAGTCTCCTCCTTGAACCTGTAAAATAAGCCGCAAGCCTGCCATTCCCCAGGAAGCGTGAGATCTCGCTCCCGGCATCTGTCAACAGTTTGGCTCAGATAAGCTCACGAAAGCCTGCCACAGGTTTGGCCCATTCTCATGTTGACAAAAGGTATACGGGGAGCACTGTAAACGGACGCCAGGCCCCCAGGGCCCCCCCGCCCCGCAGTAAGGATGGTGCACCGAGAAGTCCCGTCCCATCCCTTAGCATACTCGCACCCCAACAGTCACTGGGTCACAGGAAACAGCTCAGGCTCTTCCCCCAATCCCCCGCCCAGGCCCAGGCAGGACTCAGAGGGAGCCTTCCAGTGCCCACTGGACCGGCCCCTGTCTCCTGGCTCAGAACCCTCCCAGGGCAGCCCAGTGCCCTCAGAATCAAGGCCCAGCTCCTCTCTGCTGTCAGCACTCACCTTCACCCCCTGGGCTCTGCTGCCTGCACCCCTCACCATCCTTCCTCCACTCTCAGAGGCCAAGGCCGCGCTCACACCTGCAGACGTTTCCCGCAGCTGATGGGGGTTTTCTCAGCTAATTTTGCACACGTGACCCCTTGTTCTGGAAAGCCCTTCCCCCACAGCCTGCTACCCTGATGCCCGAAGCCAAATCCCTGGCCACGGTGCCCAAAAGCTCCTGGAAAAGTCTGAGGGGCCAGCCAGGCCTGCCAACAGGTGGGAGACGGCTGCTTTCCCTCCCCCTCATCCCTCCCTGGGGTCAGGGTCCTGCGTTCGCTTCTTGACAGCTTGCACGTCACATGGAGGGTAAAACTCAGCTGCTGAAAACCGATCAAGGCCCCCAAACAGTTTAATAAAAGGACAAAATGGCACTGTCCCCACTTAGCCCACAGGGTCCCTCTGGCTGAGCAATGGGGTTCCATCTGCCCCACCCTCCACCTCCTCCCCGGGCCATGGCTTCCAGAGCAAAAGAGCGCGGGCAAGCAGCAAGCACACCCCAAATTCCTCCCACTGTCTCTTCCTTGAACAAAAGGAACCGAGAAGGTTGGGCTGCACTGTGTGTGTGTGTGTGTGTGTGTGTGTGTGTGTACCCACCCAAGGGTACAGAGAGAAACAAAATCTAAAATTCTTTTCCTACTGGTGACTCCATATCCATTTTTAATAGGTTGCTATATATACGTCTCATGTGTAGATAATATATGTACATGTTAAAAACATATCTGTGCATGTGTGTTTCAGGCACCCAAAGCTCACTGTGTGCCTCCGACCTCAGTTTCCCCTTTTGTGAGAGGAGAGGCGGGGGGTGCTTCAGCCCTGACAGTTCATCTGAGTGCATCCCGGAGGCGGAGGGTTAGAGACCCAGGCCCGCCCTGTCCAGCTTGTCCTCCTTCCTCGCCTCCCCTCCGCAGCCCTGCCTGCAGCCCCGCCATTGGTGACGCCCCCCCTCCCATTGTCCCCTTTAGACATGAACTTACCCCCGGGATGGGGATCCCTAACCCCTAGAGCAGCGGTTCTCAGCCGCTGATTTCCCACCGGGGAGACCGGGCTGCCTTTGGAAGCAAGGCCGGTGGAAACAACGTGGGGCGAGAGTGACACCTAGTGGACAGGGGCGGGGATGCCGCGCAAATTCTCGTGGTGCACAGCGCAGCCCCCGGACCTGCCAGGGTAGCTGAGGGTAGGAAGCCTGCCCCGGAGTGAAGGCGGGTAGATGCTCTGGACTGAGGCGGCTGGAGCACCCCGGTGGCCCCGAGAAGGGAGGGAGCATGAAAAGTTTAAAAGAGAGGAACCAGTCCGGCTGGTGTGGCTCAGTGGTTGAGTGTGGACCCATGAACCAGGAGGGCACTGCAATTCTCTGGTCAGGGCACGTGTCCAGTTGCACTGAATCCCCAGTAGGGGGCGTGCAGAAGGCAGCCATCAATGATGCTCTCTCATCACTGATGTTCCCTTCCTCTCCCTGAAATCAATTAAAACATGTATTTTAAAAAATAGAAAAAGAGAGGAACTATGTTTGTTCCACAGCATTGAGGTTCACATGAGAACGTGGCAGCGGGGCTGGTTAAGGCGCGGGGCGATGAAGTTAGGATGGACATCTCGCCCTGGGACAGGTTCCCGAGTCTGTGCCCTGGAGGGCGCCCTGGGGGTGGTGCCCCATGGGAGGGGCAGGAGACATTGCTGCCGGGCAGAGCAGTGAGCTGGTTTCAGAAGATGGAGAGGTCCGCACAGCGACCAGGTCCAGTTTGGACAGCAGACGTTCCCTTCCTGTTACCGGGGCTCCTGGCGCAGCGAGGTCACTGGAGAAGGAGGGGGTGGGGTGGCTTCCCCGAGAGAGGAGGGGGGTTCACGTATGCGCGCAGCTAGGGAGCGTGTGAGTGCACTGGGAACCTGGGAATGGGGAGGGGGGCGCGGGCAGACCCCGCCCCTGCCCTCAGCTAGTGTGCAGTTGTGATGGGGGGGCGGGGGAGCAAACAAGTTGTGAGCCATCGCAATACGTGTGCAAAGAAGGCGAGGGGTTCGTGGGGAGACCTGATGAGGAGACGAACTATATGAAGGTGGAAATAATGATGCATAAAAAGTGCCTACTCACTGTCTGAAAGAAGAACTGTTGAATGAGCTAAAATGGTTAAAATAATTACTATGGAGGGGCATCCGCCACATGCCCCTGGGGGCAACCACGTTAAGAGGGAGCCCAGGTGACCAGCCAAGCCAGCCACTTGGGGCAAAGGTGTTGTAAGTCAGGCAAGAAAGAGGCTCAGAGAGGTTGGGCCCTGTGCCCAAGGTCACACAGCCAAGTAGCTGCAGAGCGTAAGACTCAACGAGGGCTCTGTTGTCCTATCCTTTGCCCAGTTTCTGCTTCTCAGTTTCTGCTTCTCTCTCTCTCTCTCTCTCTCTCTTTCTCTCTCTCACACACACACACACACACACACACACACACACACACAGCACCCTAGTCCCACTGGGCATAAAAGATACTGCAGCGGACCAGTTGCAAGTCACACTTTATTCATTCACCAAGAGGCCTGGAAGGGGGGGGGGCTGGGCAGCAGACCAGGCCCCTGGGAAGGAGGAAATGAGGGGCATTAGTTGGAGGGGTGGAAGGCGCCCCGCTGGTGCCACTGCATGTCACGGATGCGGCGCACAGACTGCACCTGGGGGTGGGGAGCCCCGAAGTCATTGCTGTCCTTGTAATCGCCCTTCTCCAGCAGGTACTGCAGCCCGCGGTAGCCAGGGTACTGGTAGCCGACCCACCTGCAGGCCGGAGGCAGGAGGGAACATGGGAGACAGAAGGAGAAACACATGAAGGGGGGGGGGGGGGGAAAGAGAAAGAGAGAGAGACAGAGACAGAGAGAGGTGTCCACATAGAAATGGCGGACTTGATCGCTTGTGCTGATCTCTCCATCTCCTGAAGACTGAGCCTCCCAGTTTCACCCGGTAGCACCCAGCCTCTGCCTTCTTCCTTCTCCTGATGGGGAGCTCACTACCTCAGGAAGCACCTTTTGCCTGAAGGCCTGAGACTGGGGTCAGTGGAAGGAGTGATCTTGAGTTCACTGACGATTAGAACAAGACAGGCCCCTTACCCCAACCCCAAACCCAGCGGCAAGGCCGCAAGAGGAACAGGCAGGACTGCAGAGGCCCATCTGAAGGCGCCACCATGGCGGGGGTGACTCGCTCTTTCCAGGACCTGATAGAGTCCGTCTTCTCCCCAGAAAACGCCACACAGCCTGGCCCACAGGGACCCGCCTGGCCAGCCCCACGGACACCTCAGCTCTACTCCTCAGTCTCGTGTCCCCACGCGCCTGCACCCCTGCCGCTCTGGCCTCTGCAGAGTCCCTCCTGCTCACCAGGGGTCCCTCTGGACCCTGCAATTCCAGCTCTTTTTTGAGATCTCAGCTCACGGGTCCCTTCCTCAGGGAAGGAGCCAGATGTGTGTGATTCTTAAATCACTTACAGTTGTCCCCGACTAGACTGTCAGCTCCGCAAGGAGAAGCCAGGCCGCTCACACAGGCCCGGCACGTGGCGGCACTCGGCGAATGGAAGCAGTGGATGAATCAACAGTGAGTGAAGGGGCGATGAACACAGAACTATCCGCGCTCTTTCAGGAGCCTGACAGACCCTAGAAGGCCAGTCGGGGATGGTAAACTACCCGCCTTGGGGGAACAAAGTCTTGATTTATAGCATGTTCCCAATTCCCGTGGTGTAAATGCTCCCACGATGGCTGATTGCAAACTGCCAATGACTCAACCACCAGCTTATGAAAATTCTGAAAAGTTAACAGTCGGCTCTTGCAAGCTGGTACAAGCCGGCCGCAGCACGCCACTGCCCGAGCCCACCCGTGGGCCCCTCTTACATCGAAAAGTCTCCCAGCGAGAAACCCCCCAGTGCTGGTGACCAAGCTTCACGTGCCAAAGAAGGTCAACATGGTGGGAAACGACAACGCCTTTCACCCAACTCAGGAGTTCATGCATGATCAGGCCAGCAGGGTCTGCCTGGCCGGGTAGTTCAGTGGTTAGAGCGCTGCCCCACTACGCCAAGGTGCAGGTTGGCTCCCCAGTCAGGGCACATACAAGAATCAACCAATGAATGCATCAATAAGCGCAAAAACACATCACTGTTTCTCTTTCTCCCTCCCTCTTCTTTCCTTTCTCTTTCTCTAAAATCAATTGGGAAGGAAAAAAAAAAGGGCCAGCGTAGGATGGGCTCCCTGCCTCGCAGCTTTGTAAGACCACTCAGCTCATTCCCAGGCTCCTGCTACCACCCCTGTCTCTGTCCCTCCCTCCCCCTGCCCCGGCCTCCCCACCAACAGGAACCTTGGGGCGAGGTTAAGGCCAAGGTCTCCTCCTCCGAAGGTAAGGTGTTGCCCAAAAGGCAGGTCTGGGTGGAACTGCAGGGCTGAAAGCCACCACACGTGGCCGATGCATCCACGCCCGGCTTCCGATGCAAAGACCGAGGCGGAGAGTGAGCAGGCTCCCCAGCGCTCAGGGAAGGGCAGGACTTAGCACCCCGGGTCCTGGCTCCTGGCCCAGGGTGAGCCGGGCGTGGTCTGTACTCACGTGCCGCTCTGCACCCGCACGGAGGACACCTTCTCCTGGTAGCCGTGGGCGTGGAAGCTGGGCACGTCATCGTCAAGGATCTCCATCTTCTTCCCCGTGAAGTTGGGGTTCTCATAGAGGATGATCTTGGGCTCCTGGCTGTCCTGCTGACGGGGAGCGGGGATGTCAGTGCAGGGCAGGGGCTGGAGTGAGCCCTCCCATCATCCTCACGCCCTGGATTGGGGTCAGCAGCTACACCACGGCCTCGCCCAGGATCCCACCACCCGAGTGTCTGTGACAATTGCCAATGAACAGCGGCTGTTTGTTGAGATCCTATTGTCATGTAACGGACACTTGAGTCTACACTTCGGGGAATATTTGATTCTGAAATGTCACTTTCCCTCCCATAGCTTCAACTCCCTGTTTAAAATAAATGCCAGCCATGAGCTACACACACACACACACACACACACACGGCCCTATGGTGCCTCTAGGTGACATGACATATTTTGCTTCCTTCATCTCCACGTCTCTTCCCGTCCTCCTGCTCCTTTAATCCTTTCAACCACTTGTGCCATTCGGCCGATGAGGAAACTGAGGCTCAGACAGGTCAAGTGACTTGCCCAAGGTCACACAGCTGCCAGTGCCAGAGCCACATAGGAACCCAGGTGTGCAGAAGGCTGGGTCCAATGTTCTCCAACCTGCTGCCAGGCTTTGGGGAGAAGTGGACAGGGCTGGGAAGGCTGGGGAGTGTGGCTGAGCCCTGCTGGGCTCTGTGTCCACCCCAAGTTCAAACACTAGGAAGAATCAGGACCAGAGAAAGGCCCACAGGCCACATGGGCTTGAGCGAAGAATGAGAGCTGAGCCGCTCTCCACCACAACCCACCCCGGAAGTCCTTCCCGTCTTTACAGTGGCTACACGTGACTGAGCGACTGCTCTGTGGCAAGAGTTATACATCCCTGGAAACACCGTCCACACAGAACAGAATGTGAACAGCGCCCCCCTTGGACCATTTGAAGTCTTGTGAATGGAGCTCCGTGGGGTTGTGCAGCTCTCAGACAAAGCATGATGGAATCTCAGGACAGGAGAGGAAAATCCCCATTTTACAGAGGAGAAAACTGAGGCTCGGGGAGGGGGAAGTGACTTTTTTAGGGCCACACAGCCAGGACGTCCCCTGCCAATCAGAAGGGGCACACTGCTGGAGGAGAAGGCTTCTATCTGGTCCTTAGACCCCTAACCCCAAGGCGATAAAGAGGAAGAAGGATGAGGGGCAGGGGCTCACCACTTTGATGGGCCTCAGGGAGCTGAGGGAGTCGGTCCTCCGACTGCTGGTCCACGAGTCCCAGCGGGGGTACTCCCCCTTCTCAAACACAAACTGCTCACCTTTGCAGTTGGCTTGTTCGTAGCCCACCCAGCTGCAGTGGAGAGGTGAGAGAGAGAAGCTCACAGCTGCTCGGCTCATCAAGGAATAATAGCCCTGCCCAAGTCCAAGTACAGCCAATCCAAGAGCACAGTCACCTCAGTTATCCAGAACCCAGCATGACACTGACTTCAACCATCTGGAAACCAAGCAGGAAATAAGCCAGACGGCCTGGCAGCAAATACAGACCTACAGGCCCATGCCCGAGGGCCCAGGGCATGCTGGAACGAACAGCCAGCTCTCAGAAGCAAACACAAAGCTCTGATGGTGGCATCTGCCCATTTCCCTGGTGTAAACGCTCCCACCATGGCGGACGCTCGCTTCCCAATGCCCGCACGCTGACGGTGCCGGTGAGCTCTCGACAACCGCTTCCTAAGGACCCACTGCCCAGAGCAACATGGCCGGATGGAGCGCAGCCTCTTCTAAAAGCGGCAAGAGACAGGCGCACCCCTCCCGTTACCCCTTAGATGATCACACTGAACAGCCACAGGGCTCCAGGCTGCAGGGTTCACCCTGGCAACGAACCGCCTCCACATGCCAGGCATTTCCAAGCGGTGTCTCCTTTACCCCACTCCCCTCTTTCCTCTATTAGTCACGTGTCCCCGGAAGGCAATCCTTGAGAGGACATCCCCGGAGCCAGAGACAGGCAATTCTCAAAAGGCCCACAGCCGTGACTGTGGCCCAGCCTCGAGGAAGTGGCTGGCCTCCGGGTCAGACTCTTCCCATGAGCCCTGCCCCTCGTCCTCAGGAGGACATGGCCATCCTCATCCTACAGAGGGGGAAACTGAGGCTCTGAGAGGGAAGCCACTCAGCCCAGCAGTGGTGGAGGCAGGATCTGAACCTAGCTCCCTCTGACTCCAAAGCGCACATCCTCCCGCTAGGCTGCCGGGCCCCAGATCCTGGTCCCCCGATTGCCCCAGCCTGGCACCCCGAGGGGGGCGGCCTCCCTGGTACCTACGGTCCAGCCTGCACCAGCACGGAGCCCGTCTTGTCCATGCCCATCTCCTTCAGGTTGGGGCAGGGCCCGCTGAGCTCCTGCGAGCGGCCCTGGAAGTTCTCCTGCTCGAAGATGATGATCTGTAACAGCAGGACAAAGTCAGTCCACGGAGAAGAGGGGGAGCAGGGCGGTGAGTGGGGAGGGGACTCAGGAGCCTCGAAGGAGGCTGCAGGGCTCCTCTCTGGGGTCCCAGCCAGCAGGTCTGCATGTCCAGTGAGCTCCCAGGCGGGGCTGGTACCACGGGTCTGCAGGGCATGGTAGGCGCAGCGAGATGCTCAACCACGGGTGGAGTTTCCCCTGCTCCTGGGGGGGCTGGCCTCGGACCCCTGCCATCCACACCCTCAGCCCCGCATCACCAGGGAACCACACGTACTTGGCCCTTGCTTGACGCCTCAGGGCTTCGCAGCTCTCCCTCGGGCCTCCCCCCAGGACTTCCCTTCCCTTCCCCCACCCCGTCCTCTCACCAGCCCATGGCCTCAGAGCCACGTACTAAGGGGAAGCCAGCTGCCACCTTTTATGATTCCAGAGAGCACGGGGAAGGGGGGGCCCAGAGGGCAGGGGTTTTCTAGCCACTTCCCCAGGGGCTGCCTCTGGATGAAAAAGGGGGCTCAGGGCAGCGGCCTCCCAGGAGGGCAACCGTGCAACCCGCCCAGTCAGCAGAGGCTGGGTAAACGTGCCCCTCTCTCCCAGGCCGGGATTAGCCACAGAAAGCCAGGGAAGGCAGGCCTGCCAGGGCTCAGAGACAAATTCCAGGGCTCCATTCCGCCTTTGCGGTCACTTACTCGACGACAGACGGTCAGGAGACGCGGGCATTGGTGTCACCTCTCCCGCCTCCAGCTGTGCACCCCTAGGAAGCAGCTTGACTCTCTGAGCCTCGGCCTGCCCATCTGGGAAATGGGGGATCGCTCCTATTTTACAGGGTCACCAAGAAGAGCCAAGAGCATGGCATGAGGGGCTGGGGGACAGGGGCTGGCGGGGTGGTGAGAGCGAGGAGTGGCAGCCTTTCCGTTCATTCGAGAGGCCCCAGAGGGCCCCGGAGCTATTGGCGTTGTGGTTCTTTATCGACAAATGGACACGAAAATTTTACCCGTTTCTAACCCTTGACACCTGCGCTGTCCATTGGCTACATATACCTATTGAGCAGGGGCAACTGGTCCGAAGGAAGATGTGTTATCAGCATAAAATACACATCAGGTTTGTAAGATTTAGCATGAAGACAATCATGTAACGCTGCTCCCGCATAATGTGCCCACTGACTTCACATTAGACTGTATTGGGTTTAATAAAAGATGGCGTGAAGGTTCATCTCATCTGTTTCTTTGCACTTTTTGAACGTGGCTACTAGGAAGCCCCTGATGACGTCTATGGGGCTCTGGTTTAATGTCGATTGGACGGAGCTGCTCTAAGTCACGTGACACCAGCCTTTCTGCTGTTCCTCAAAGCCACCCAGCTCGCTCCGACCCCCGGGCCTTTGCACCTGCCGTGCCCTCTGCCTGGAATGCTCTCCCCTGCCCCGCTCCCCGGTTTTCACGTGGCTGCTCCCTGCCTTGACCTGGGTCTTTGTTCGAATGCCACCTCCTTGGAGAAGCCCTCTCTGAGCACCTTAGCTATCACACCATGCCTCCTGCACCCCAACTCTCAGGAACCCTCACTCTATGCTTCTTTGTAACACTTCTCACCCCTTGAAGTCATATAGTTACTGGTCTGTTCACTGACCGTCTTTCCTCTAGAAAGTGAACCCCTCAAGGGACAGAATGGGGTGACAGCAGGCAGTTCTGGGGTGGATGCCCTGCCCAGACCCCAGGGCAGAGGGAAACAGAGCAGCCTGGCGGACAGCTGAAGGCGGAGGTTTGGGGCGGGTTGGGTGTGACGAGCTTACATTGGGATAAGGACGTGGAGGGTGAGAAAGCGAAGAAGACATTCCCGGTGACTGGCATCGGTGGACCCCCCACAGCCAGGCGTGAGGCCGAGTCTGGGCTTTGCCTCCTCACAATCACCCTGTGTCTTGAATTCAATTCTCATGTGATGAACGATGGAACTTAGAAACTTAAGTCTCCAAAGCCGGAAGCTGGTGTGGGATTCTGACCTGCCGGTCGTGGGCCAGGGAGGAGCCTTCACAATCAGCGCCCACCCCCACCACTGCGCCCGAGGCTCAGAGAGGCCGAGAGGCCGGCCAGGGTCACACAACAGTGTGGAGCCAGGACTCAAACCCATCTCCCCTTCACAAGGCCTTTCTTAGCTGGGACGAGGGTCCACCCTGGCCCTAGGG